TCTTTTGCCCTTGTATATCTATTCCTAAAGTAGTTCTGTCTTTATTGATGTGTACCAAGTCTTCGTTATAATACACGCAAAAAGTATATTAAAAACCAGATACAAATTAAAAAAGCATCATCACTTTTTAAAACCGTCAAAAATCGTATGCAACTGTTTTAATTTTTATCTGATTATTAATATTTCGTGTTTATTTTGGTAAACGAATTGATTCTAGAACAACCTTTAAACTACCCCAGTAATGCATGCATCGCTATGTATATAATTTGTTGAGCATATCTCAAGAACAAAAAAGAAATATCTACAAAATGTCCGGCGCATTCACCATTTGTTATAAACTATGAGCAATATTATTGATGTGTTACTTACAATAAATTTTATCAAAATAGTATAATTGAAAATTGTAGAACTAGTTTATGAAATGTTATAGTTATAACTGACAAACTATTATGGAGTTGTTATTTGCATTTTATTGTTGTGATGGTGCCGTTGTTTTTTTTTAACTTAAAAACTTCTTCCGGAATAAATGGGTCTAACTAGTCTCCAGGGAGTAAAGTTGGGAATCTTCCGCCTCTAAAACGATTTGAATATTTTATTCGCAAGTATACAGTTTGTAGACATTTGGGAATTCGCTTAATACTTGGAAAAACTTTCTTAAATTAGAGGAAGTCCTTTCCTGAATTTGTCAAAACCTTACTGCTTGGTGTGAGTATAAACTTTACATTTTATAGTGGTTATAATGCTCAAAAAAGCATCTAGTGTTTCCTTTCGTTTTTATTTAGTTCTTAAGTTAATAACATCACAACACGAAAAAACCAAAAAACAATTCCGGAGTGGTCTATCACTCTTCTGAAACTAGCATTATGATTTTTGACCCAAAAATGCTTTTTCATTATTATATTGAGTTTGCATTTATATAACACCAGGTAAATAATTTGTCACTAGACTGCAATGAACATTCATTAGTAAAAAGTTCATTTGTATGATATACAAGAACTTGGTCAAAGTTCTTCTAGGGTTCTTCATACAATATACCGCTGAGAAACCCGCGGGTGAACAATGTTTATAGTCCAGTCGGTGGAGAATTTTCCCGACATAAATTTGTTACCGGACGGGAGTTGTTTCTTCTTGTAGGCGGGGAAAAGTTAAGCATCCCTGTATTTTTTAAACTTCAAAAAAGTGTGCGTTAACAAACGGGCGAGATCGCAAAAATCAGGTCAAGACAAATTGAAACTAATAATGTTTTTCTAGATGATTGCATCAAAAAGCTAGACGCGGACGAATTTCCAAACATTGAATTTGTTAAGGTAGTGGGAAACCATTTTAAAATTAAATAAATAATCATTTCATAACTGATATGTGTTTTCTTGCTGAAATTATTTTATCTTTAATTTACTGAAGTACTGAAGTGCACTATAAATATATTTTCGATAAATAAATAAAATCGGTAAGTAATCGTTGAGTTGATATGAACGGGAGGGAACTCGGCTAGTACACGGGAGGGAATTCGACTATCTATATTTTAACCAAAACTACCTGCGGAAGAGAATTCGGCATCACTGTACAACAAGGAGCTCCGTAAGAAAAATTTCCATTCAAGTTCAATGGGAATCAATGAAAAATTTGTAAATTCCATTCAAAACCATTTGGGATAAATGGAAAAATAATTGTTTCCATTTACAATAATTCCCCGTAGAACAAATTTCCATTAAACTTCAATGGGAATCAATGGAAAATTTGTAAATTCCATTCAAAACCATTTGGCATAAATGGAAAAATAATTGTTTCCATTTACAATAATTCCCCTAAGAAAAAANGCATTCACCATTTGTTATAAACTATGAGCAATATTATTGATGTGTTACTTACAATAAATTTTATCAAAATAGTATAATTGAAAATTGTAGAACTAGTTTATGAAATGTTATAGTTATAACTGACAAACTATTATGGAGTTGTTATTTGCATTTTATTGTTGTGATGGTGCCGTTGTTTTTTTTTAACTTAAAAACTTCTTCCGGAATAAATGGGTCTAACTAGTCTCCAGGGAGTAAAGTTGGGAATCTTCCGCCTCTAAAACGATTTGAATATTTTATTCGCAAGTATACAGTTTGTAGACATTTGGGAATTCGCTTAATACTTGGAAAAACTTTCTTAAATTAGAGGAAGTCCTTTCCTGAATTTGTCAAAACCTTACTGCTTGGTGTGAGTATAAACTTTACATTTTATAGTGGTTATAATGCTCAAAAAAGCATCTAGTGTTTCCTTTCGTTTTTATTTAGTTCTTAAGTTAATAACATCACAACACGAAAAAACCAAAAAACAATTCCGGAGTGGTCTATCACTCTTCTGAAACTAGCATTATGATTTTTGACCCAAAAATGCTTTTTCATTATTATATTGAGTTTGCATTTATATAACACCAGGTAAATAATTTGTCACTAGACTGCAATGAACATTCATTAGTAAAAAGTTCATTTGTATGATATACAAGAACTTGGTCAAAGTTCTTCTAGGGTTCTTCATACAATATACCGCTGAGAAACCCGCGGGTGAACAATGTTTATAGTCCAGTCGGTGGAGAATTTTCCCGACATAAATTTGTTACCGGACGGGAGTTGTTTCTTCTTGTAGGCGGGGAAAAGTTAAGCATCCCTGTATTTTTTAAACTTCAAAAAAGTGTGCGTTAACAAACGGGCGAGATCGCAAAAATCAGGTCAAGACAAATTGAAACTAATAATGTTTTTCTAGATGATTGCATCAAAAAGCTAGACGCGGACGAATTTCCAAACATTGAATTTGTTAAGGTAGTGGGAAACCATTTTAAAATTAAATAAATAATCATTTCATAACTGATATGTGTTTTCTTGCTGAAATTATTTTATCTTTAATTTACTGAAGTACTGAAGTGCACTATAAATATATTTTCGATAAATAAATAAAATCGGTAAGTAATCGTTGAGTTGATATGAACGGGAGGGAACTCGGCTAGTACACGGGAGGGAATTCGACTATCTATATTTTAACCAAAACTACCTGCGGAAGAGAATTCGGCATCACTGTACAACAAGGAGCTCCGTAAGAAAAATTTCCATTCAAGTTCAATGGGAATCAATGAAAAATTTGTAAATTCCATTCAAAACCATTTGGGATAAATGGAAAAATAATTGTTTCCATTTACAATAATTCCCCGTAGAACAAATTTCCATTAAACTTCAATGGGAATCAATGGAAAATTTGTAAATTCCATTCAAAACCATTTGGCATAAATGGAAAAATAATTGTTTCCATTTACAATATAATTCCATTAATATTTACATAGGAAAAATTTCCATTGATTTTCAATGGGAACCAATGCAAAATTTATAAATTCTATATAAAACCATTCATAAATAAATAGATAGATAAATAGAAAATCAATTGTTTCCACTTTGAATGATTCCATCAATCAACGCAATGGAATTTCCATTGAGTTCAGCAATGGAATTTCCGTTGCGTTCAGCAGTGGAAATCCCATTGAGTTCGGGAATGGGAATCCCATTGGCAATTCTGCATTTATTACCATTAATTATTATCAGAGGTAATTAAATGGCATGTTTTAATGGAAATTGAATGGAAATTTTTCCTACGGGGCAACTACCGTCCAGTAACAAATTTATGTCAGGAAAATTCTCTACCTACTGGACTATTAGTCTATTCAGAACTACAATTTTATCAAAATCTGAGAATGTCTTGTGAAATTTCGTTAACTTGTTCAGAAGAAAATGTCTGCCAAAAAAGGATGACTTCTTATTATCAAGCCGCGCCTTCACTGTAATTTAGGAAGAAATAATTTCTCTTGGAGTTCGTATTATAGGTATATACCTACCTACATGCAATGCGGCGACTTTTTTGCAAGTTGTGCAATACAATACAATTTATTGTTTTAATTAAAAGCTGGGGTTTAATGAGGCGGAATAAGCTTTGTATTCACTCTAATACATTTCATGAAACGTAACCGACTTAATGTCGACGATACGATTTAATTAAAAATTTATTTCTGCTGAAATTCATACCGGAGCGGAGGGTGAATGTTAAAAACATTTTATTCGCGAGTCAATTTAAGAAGAAAAAGAATGAGTAAATAATTATTTTATTTTGGAAGGAAACGTATTTGACTGAACTTTTGTACGTACATATCTTGCAATATAAACCAACCCCGAACTTAAGCGAGAATGCAAGGAAAAGAAAGGATATCATTAGGAAATTTTTAAAATTTTTATTAAACCCTAACCCGAAAACCAACTTAATATTGTTAACATTTTCTCCCAAACATTCAAACTGCAAATGTAAATTTGTAAGCACAATATTGATTTGCTGATAGATTTACTACGTTATGTTCAGACTAGACTTCTTATTAGTTTTCCTGTAATTTAGTAAAGTAAAGAACTATTTTTTGTATTTTTTTCAAAATTTTAGGTTCAGTAGTTTCGGAGATAAGAGGGGAATGCCCAATTTTCATTTATTTTCTTAAATAACTTTGAAATTGTTTATTTTAAAGTTATAATAAAGAAATATATTTAAGACCCTTACAACAAGCCCTTTCATTTGATGTTACGGTTTGCAAAACTTCTTTTTTTAATTTCAACTTAATCGGCCTAGTATATACAGAGCAAATTCACTGTGACAGACGGACAGATAGACACACAAGTGATCCTATAAGGGTTCCGTTTTTCATTCGGACGTACGAAAGCCTAAGAACTAATTATACAATGAAATATTTCAAACAGAGGTTATACTATTACTTATACTACCAGACTTGACTCTGCCTCACATACGGGGAGGGGGGGTGTTGGTTTAGTTATTTAATGCTGATTTGCATGTCCAATATGAATAAGAAGTGGAGACGTTTAGGTCCACCACAAGGTGCGTTTATTACAGTATTAATGTAAATCTTATAAAATAGTTGTAAAGGCTAAGTATTTAAATTTTTATTACTTAAAAACTTTTTTGATGTTTAGGCTCCAACTGCCGACCAAAGCGACCTATTTGTTGATCCTCAACCAGTGTATGTTCCTTATTCAATAAGTATTTGCGGTTGGAAACGCCTAGGCCAAGTATTCCCTGATGTACGTACCTACTCGTATGCAAGGCGACGAAATTTATTATAAATTAAATTAGTTGTGATTAAAAGCTTTTGTATTTTTCTGGTTGCCTACTATCCTAAGATTCAATTCATCCAAAATAATCTTCGTTCATTATTATTGATTAACAACTGGTTAGAGATCAAAATAAGGGGATCAATAGACATACATCGCCGGTCCAATAAATACGCGAACTGAGCTTCTAGCGTTAAGTTAAGATGATGTATAATGTGTGGTGTCATTTTTACCTTGTCCACGATGGAGATGTGATAACGATTCAACATCAAATTTTATTTGGAAAAGCTTTCTGGAAATTAATAAAATACTGCACGCTATTTGTGAATATAATAGTCCAAGAGCCGCCAGACGTTCCTTATTTTCTGAGTATCAAAAGGGGTGGAATAGAGAGTGTTATTAGTATGTACTTTGAACGTATGCACATCTGCTAGCTTGTGCCAACGGCCAATTCTTTTCGTAAAGTCTCAGTGCTGATCTTTACATTATGTTTCATAGAATATTATCAAAAATCATTATCACCATTGCCAGATACATCCTATCGGCGGTAATTTCTGCCAGACGCTTCAAAGTTCGCAAATAAATCGTAATTTCACTTATAGTCTGAGTCTTCATTTTTAAATATGATACTTAGGGAACTATTTCAATACTTTTTGTAAGCAACCAGATCACTTGTAGAGACCAAACATCCCCCGGACATAATTAAAATGGGTAAATATATTGTTGAACCTTCACGCCTCCGACGACCTTGAAAATTTAGTATGTTGTAGCGGTGATTACGTAGATTAATTTTGTGCATACATGTTCAGCGCGGAAAGCATAAACAAGCATAGTTTACTGATGTTGAAAATTATAACAAATACATTGATTTCTTTTAATGAAATATTTCTTATGTAGCGCACACTACTTAAGCGCCACCTATTTTATAGTAGATCACTGTTATAGTTTACGCGGGAATGACGGCCGGTGTGGTGAGGATGATCGATCGGTATCATCATAGTATTGACTTAGTTTTGGTATATTCAGCGTGTATGGCTATTATGTACTTTTATGTTTAGTATAATAAATGTAAATATTTGTTTCGCCCTCAAAGATTAAATAAACTCTTTAAAACCCAACTACACTTAGAATACCTTTGTCCAACGAAAATGACATCAGCGTATCAACAATTCGCTCAAAACCTGGTAGTATTTGTTAACATTTACTTCTAATTATAATTTATATTAATTTTTAAAGTTAAAAACTATGTGAAATAATGTTTTTCGCGCCCAACATATATACATATTTATGGTGTGAGGTTCAACAATATAATTACCTTAAAATGTCACAGTGAGTATTGGTAAAAGGCATAGATCGTAGCGACACGTAGTGACAATAATTCGAACCAATCCTATCGGGTTAGCTGTTACACAGCGAGTAGAAAGAGATACATACGTAATTCTTTTTATTTTTATTATAATAGAAGAAAATAAATAAAATTATTTTAAAGTATGGAAAATCAATCTGAAACAAATGGAGCAAGATTTTCTCCAAAAAAACTACGAGTAAAATGTTTTGTTGTGTCTATGGTTGCAAAAGTAAAGCGTTTAACAATCCGGGCGTTCGTTTCCACTATTTTCCAAAACCAAATAGTTACTATGTAAAAATACAAAATTATTTCGGTAATTCGGTAAAGTCGATTGCCATAAAAAATGGCAAGAAGTTTTAAAAATTGGGGAAACAGTAATTCAGCACATGCAAGTTTGTTAGTTACATTTTAAAAGAAGTGACTATGTTCCACCTGGTAAATATTCATTTTTTTGCATAATTACTTTAAGCTATAACTAATTATTTAAAATTAATTCAAATATTAATTACGTTAATCAATATTTTGAATTTTGTGGACAATGAGACATGTTGACTCTATTTTTAAAGGTTTCAAATTCTTGAAGAAAGATGCCATACCTTCCTGTAATTTGCCTTCATGTAATATAAAAGAGCCTTCAGATGACCAGAAACGAATTAATAGAAGTATGATTAAGATTAAGATTAAGATTAAATAGAGAAAAAAATCGTACTGAAGCTAATATAAACCAACAAAATGGAAATTGTGGTAACCTAAACGATGAAGAAAATATTTTAACAAGTTCTGACCTTCCAATGGCAGAAAATAATGATATAAACTCTCTCAGCGTAACTCATATCGATTATTTATATTATTTAATATGCCACAATATATTAAATGACCAGCATTCACAACTTTCTCTCCTTCAACGAAATTACGGCTTTTTATTGATGAGTTCAAGAACTCCAAAATTTCACTCAAAGATAAAAACATTGCTTCAAAATTAACTTGTAACACATGTTTTCGTATGGAAACGTGGCGTATTTGACCCGATAGGATTGATTCGAATTATTGTCACGGCGTGTCGCTACGATCGATGCCTTTTACCAATAAGCGCAGGCGCGGTCATTAGATGACTTAATAGCAGTCGTGTGGACCGCTAAGAAGCTGCATGATCATGATGACTTTCGACCTACTTTAAATGGGGTGAAATTGATATTCTTTAAATTTTGTTAAATATGATCACAGCTCGCGAATTTATTGGACGGGCTACGTATATACATATTTTACATACGTAGTTTGCCTTATGGGTAATTGATTGTTTCGATCAAGGCGAAGTTGATAATGTTTGCCGACAAACCCGAGTACCCTGACCTTATCAGCGCCAGTAAACATCTTCTGCACAGCGATTTCGTAAGATCGTTCATTGCTGCAATGACGACGCTGGAGTATCTCGGAAACACAAACCCATTTCCGATAGAGTACACAACCGCTACTTTCACTCCAACAACTCAAGACCTTCCGTGGCGACCCTGGCATCACATCTACTCAATGTGTAAAGCAGGGAAGGGCCAGAAACATAATCCGCAAGTTAACCAATTGGGTTAGTAAACTTTTCTTTTAACCTCAACCTTTTTACCCTTCTCTACAACGTCTCTAACTGGAACGATCAAAACTGCCACAAACACTTGGTGAAAGTTCAAGACGTAATTAAGACGCTACGCTAATCTATCGCATTTCATGTTATAGTGAGAGCAAAGATAAACAAAACGAAGTATTATAATATCATTTCTGCTTTGGTAATAAAAATGGAATAAAACACAATATTTGGAATGCCCCAAGCAATATTTATACTTCTATCCTAGCCTAACTTATCCTAATCAAACCTTTCTAACTTTATTTATCTTTTTAACTAATACACACTAATAGTTAACAACATAGCGACGCTAAATGTTTCATTCAAGAACACATCTTATGAATAAAATAATTCGAAGTGGTCTGTATTCTGTCGAAACTGCCAGACGCGGATCGCGATTTCGATCTTTTCGGATCTCATCAGCGCGTCGCAGACAGCTCCGACAGAAAACAGACCAACTTTTACCTGCTGTCTTAACAGCGCGTTTTAGAAAATACCACAAATGGCGCGGTAAACGCCATCTGTAGTACGATGCTACATTTTAGGATTACGTATG